ATTTTTTTTTTTATGGATCTCTTTGTGATTTTTTGGAGCCTGTTTGGCTTCTCTCTGGTTTGGTTCTTTCGGATTCTTTGGCTGCTCTTCTGCTTCCTGTGGACGTTCTCCGTCTCTTTCTGCAGTTCTTTCTTTTTCTTTTTTTATTTCATTTTGTCAAATGTGTATCTTTTCTTCCTGATCCTCTTGACCCCTTTTGAATCTATTACCAGCTGATTTATTTTATTTTTTCCACCAGCCTGCAGCCGTGGCACCGTCAGTCCGAGGGCAGACGGTCAGGGCTGGTCGCTGGATGATGTCCGATTGTTTGAGCTCCTGACTGCAGATCAGCCTGATCCCTGAGCTGTTTTGGTTGGAGGCCTGGAAAGCAGCAGGTCGTTGTGGCTTTAATTACAGTCTTTGTTTGTGTCACAGCGGTGATGACAGCTTCCTGTCATCGTGCTGATTCTCCTGCAGAGTGAAGCCACACTTCCTGTCAGAGATTTATAATTCATGTTCGCTGCAGGTGAGCAGGGATCAGGTGGTTCTGTAAGACGAGGAGCTCTTTATTCAATGGTGGGAAGCGGTTGGACCTTCCTCTGCTTTCATAGGATGCAGAGAAACTGGAATAATGTTTGATCCAAACAGGATCAGGAGAAAATCAGCAGATGAAGTCCGGACATGTTTTTAATACACAACAGGACTTTAAGCTTTTTATCCCAAACATGGATCTTCTTGCCAGAAGCAGAGGAAGAGGAAAGAAAGCCCCTGGTCCTCCGTCTTTTAGGATGTGAGTCTGAGATAAACCTGTTAGAAAGCAAACATGTCGGGCTATTTAGTTGTTTAATGATCTCCATAGAGATGGAAAGAGATTGGTCCATAACATGGCTCTCTGTGCCATGGATGTTCTTCGTCGCCCTGAAACACTCTGGTAAAGTCCTCTAGCTGTTTTATCCCAGTACTACGCCGACTTCCAGCAGCTCCAGATGGACCAGTGCCGTACTGGACAGCAGGTCCTCCATTCTTCAGTGGCGTCATCAATGTTTCTCTAGTATCAAGCAGCGCTGCCTAACGCGGGGTTTTCCCACCGGCAGACAGCAGCGACACCGAGGCCTCAGACTGTCTGCATCCTCCACTAGAACCCAGAATCTGCTTTTATAGTTATGTTGTCTAATTGTATAGTAAGAAAAAAGTTACATTTGCCTCCAAACTTTAAAAAAGACCAGTTTAAAGACCAGTCTAAAGTTTAAATACTTGGAGCTCATAGAAACTGACAGAAAGCTGATTTCCTGTAGCGTCGCTGTTTTCCACCAGCTCCACTCGGCCCGTCTCTACTTCTCCATTAGTGCTGTTCCAGTAGCTGTACTGGCTTCTCAGCCCTGCTCCTCTCTGATCAAACCGACTCCCCAGAGGGGCAAAAGGGGAAAATCATCTCATGCTTAACAATCTGCATCTTATTCCTGAATAATTGCATAAGAGGGTTCTACCCAGACGTGTCGAGAACCAGCAGCTTTATGTCCATGACATGTCAGTCATTGGAAACGGGTGAGAACCAATCAGAGAACCACTAATGAGACGCAAGAACGTTTTTTTTTTTGAGAAGTCTGGCTAACAGATCACCTTAAGCAGGGCTGAGGGAACAAAAGGAGGCCATGTTGGCTCCTGTATCCATCTCCAGTGGTTTTTTTAGGTCAGATGAGGAGGGACAGCCATGCTCCTAATGGCCAGACCAAATCAGTTAACCTAATACCGTAAATCCTCTAATATAGGCCCGGGCCTTTATTTCACTCAAGTGCATCGCGGTCCAGTCCTTTATTGGATGTGGGCCAGAATTAGAGACAGGCCTCTATTGCTATTTGAGCAAAACAGACTACCAGTGGAATGAATAAAAATGAGATTTTGTGTCTATTTGAACCTATAAA